CATGCTTATGTCTATTATCATATGAATGCCTATATCATACGTGTATTTTATGTTTTGATGTATCTATACTACTACAGACTTAATAATTGTCAGTTCGTTTTAAAAATAATTATATAAGCATGATAGATTGTCTAAAAACTATAATGAAACAACAATTTTTAATACTTTTCACAATTTCTTACTGTTGTTCTTCATTATACTTAACATCAAAAGATGTTGCTTAACTTGGTAGCCTTCCAACCTGTAAACATAGTTCTATTTGTTGTAATGACTCATGGCATCATATTTGGAATATCTAATTTCTATTGTCTCTACATGCAGCGTGTATTGTTCAACTGCATAAATTTCTGTATTTCTACTTACAAGTTTTACAATAAGCGCCTATAAAGAGTACTAAACAGAATATCACTGTACTTAAAATTCCATATACGCTTCACAATAATATCAGTAATGTGATATAAATAAAATATAGCATTGTTATATTTGATAATAGATTTTAATTTTCCAAAGATATGAATAATGGATAAAATATTGGTTCATGCATCTGTGATTACCTTGATGATCAGATATAGAATTCCTTTCTTGACATTTGAATAGAAAAGTAGTTAAACATAAGACCATCTAAAGTAAATTATGTATAATAGCAGACACATAAAAAAATAAATATTTAAAACATGATGCTGCAGTCATTATAATAATAAATAAAACTGCATTTACAAATTTGAATACTGCTAATTTGAATAATTCTTTTACAATATAAACACTAAAGAAAAGCACAATAAAAAGAATGAATAGCTGAATACAACATGTAATTTGTTAATATTTATAAGGCAATAAAGACTAAGGTTACAAGTATTAAAATTTTATGAACTTTAATTTTTTATGAAGAAATTATTTAATACAAAAAAATATTTTTTAAGTAATTTTTATCAGAAGTAAAACACTAAAGTCAACTATGTTTAACTTCTATTTTTCAACAATTCAAAACAATGTTTCCAATTAAGTAGTAATTCTTTCATCTACTTTATCATAAATAATGTATACATCCTTGTTTATTTACTAACATTGAAACAAAATATTAAATAAAGAGTTCAAAATATAATCGTAATCTATTCTATGTAACCATCGGCAAAAAAAATTATTAATATTACATCTTTCCAATGGAATAATGATGAATAAATGGAAATTTGAAATATTCAATATTTCTAGATGCACGTAAAAAAAAGAAGAATATTAAATTCTTAGTTATGTATAGTAGGAGCAAAGTTCATGAAGTCTGTATTCCAATAATGGAAGTTTTATTTTGCATTAACACTGATCATTTTTCCTTTGGACTCTTTGGGTGTTTTATAACATACTTTATGAAACTGCATTATAAATATATTCAAATGTTATATGTGATATTTGGTTCTTATCTTACCTATATCAACTAAAGGAGGTTTATCTCGCCCTCTTCGATAACATAAGTAACATTCATTTGTTCTCAAACTCCCATGATTCAAATCGGCAGGTAGGCCTGAAACAGTGTGTTCTAATAAAGTGTATCCTTCAGGACATTGTTCACCCAATGCTGGGAATATAATGGCAAGATCGGTAATTGGAGGTTTCATGTGCACATCTTTGACATGTGTCCCTTCTTGATACCAATCTTCTAACTTCTCATCATTTTCATTATTACTAGCAAAATCATTGTCTTGCCCTGGTAAACCAGCAATGACAAAGTAATCAGCTACCCTCCTTTCATCCATGGTTATCTAATCATTAGGATTAGAGAAATATACAGAATAAAATACAATTTATCATAAATTTTATAGAATAAATTAATAAACAATACCAACTTTATATAACAAGAAAATCCTTCACATGGCACTTAAACAATCCTTTCCAAGCTTTCCTCATATATTTTTACAATTATTTTTATTATTTTCTGTTAAAAATTCTTTCTTTCAAATAATAATCTTTAAACAAATTATTTTGCACAAACATCCTACAAATATATAAAATCAGTTAATAACTAATAATATTAAATAACTTTATATTAGTATAAAATAACACTCAAACTAATACAATAAAAATTACTGCATTACCTTTCAAAATATATATTTATTTCAATCATTCCATTTTTTCTTTTATTAATTTCTTTTAATCATTTCAAGGTTAGTATTTATAGAAACACCACATTTAAGTTTTGAGAAAAATAATAATACATTTGTACATATATTTACACTATATTTACACTTATTTTGTTAAAAACATGTTTTTTTAAATGTACAATTTAATACATACTGATTTAAATTGTTTATGAGTTACTCTATACACAAAGTTATGAAATAAATGGTTATTTTTTTTTAATCGATAGAAAAAGTTCTAAAATAATAACAAATTACAAAAGATTATAACAATATCAATAATACTTGCAATTGTTCACAATATTTTATATAATAATCACAACAAAACGTTTTCAACAATTCGTTTTGAAAGTTAAATATTTCTAGGTTATGTGTCATACCAACTATACCTTACATATACGTTTACTCTAATCAGGGGAGACGTTATTGAAATGTGACGCAAACTTTCTACTGAAAACACTTTTTTGTAGATTATATTTTTATAAGGATTTAAATACACATACCAGAAGATTCAACTAAACATTGAAAGGGAAACTGAATCTGACTTTGTATCACAAATTATACAAATATGAAATGTTTAAATTTAAGAAATACGTATGTCTGTTTGGTACAATAAGTGAATTAGATCTATTATTATTTTTTCTTTGAAGGAATATATATACAAGTAATTTTTACATTTATATTAACTCTTTGAACTTTCAATTGTATAATATTATTAAATGTTTTATATATGTATTAAGGAACATTTTGTTAAATATTAACATGTTATTAAATGCGAGTGACACTTATACCTACGCAGATTTCAACACATTTTTATTTAAAATATTGTAAAAACAATTTTTAAAATAAAATTAGTGACGTAATAATAATATGTTATCATAAAAGTAAATAATGTTTTTGAAAACGTAATATAGTTAATGTAAAATGTGTTTTGTATTTATTATAGATATCGCATAATCTTGCACAAATGTGCAAATTTATTGATGCATGCATACAAAAATTTGCATAATAATTTATATACCATGGAGTATGTATTATATCAGTAATAAAACTAAAACTAAAATTTTTCGTAAAGATATGAAGAATAGCAATTTATGATGTTGGAAACATTGGAAATGGTTGCTTACTTGTTTTGTAATTTGTGGTTATTTATTTGCTAAGTTATACACAGAACATTACGGACGTTTAAATTATAAAAATATTGTTAAAAAAACTTTATAGTGATTTGATATTAGTAATTTATGCACAAAAACGAATATTTAAGTAAGTAATAATGATAAATTAATTGAATATGAAGAATAAAGATATGATATATTTACAAACAAATCAGGTCCATGAATATAATTTACCTTTTTAAATTTTATAATTAAATTAAACTAAATACATGTTTTTACATTTGTGAATTTATATTAATATAAAACTTAAAAATGTAATATAATTACATTCTATAAAGTATTAAAAATGTATATTTTTGTGCATTTATCTCATAATGAATTATACATTTATCAATTTGAATTATAAGATAGTAATTACATTCATTTAGATAATTTGAAATAGTGAAATAATTTTCAATTATTGTAAACAATTGATTATATAGTTGCGTAGTACTGATACTTTAATATATTGATTGTAAGAAGGTACGGTTCCTATAAAAATTTTAAATTTTAATTAATTATAAAACTTTTTGTGTAAGTTTTAATATACAAATAATATTGCTTTATATTTATTTTTACGTATTAATTAATTTGTTGTTTACATTAAGGATAATAAATAGTTTTTTTATCCATATATTTGCTATTTTTCTATATATACATTATATAAACTTTAGAGACTTAACTTTGACAAGGTGAAAGCTGACTTTACTATAGTACTTAAAAATTAATAATAAAAAAAATATAGTTCTGTTTGTTTTTGCGATACAGTATTATTTTTCTCATTATGTATGATTGTTTGTAAATAAATCATCAGCTACGTTTAATTTTTTATTTTTTTTTAGCATTTTATACTTCTTATACAATTTTCTGCAATGATATCACTAATTTAGAAATTATGTATATTTTAATTGTAATAATGTCCTTTTGTTATTTTTAAGTATTTGTCTCAGTCGGATAATCTTTGATACTATAAATATTAATATCCAAATTATATACTGCTTGAATGCAATTTATATATATGGTGAAATATAAGTAATTGAGTTAAAATTATAATCACAAATTAATATTAATTGACTAATTATACATTTTAAATTACCAACAATATTTATTGATAAATTTATTTAATACATTACAGTATTTTGTTATCAGTAATTATTATGTTGTCTATAAAAAAAATGATTTATATAAAGAAATAATGTATATAGTAAAATATAAAAAACAGTTATTTTAAATTTCAAAATAGGCTTGTAATATGTGATTCCGATCAGGATTGCCAATTTCGCTTTTCTAACATCAAATTCCGGAAATGTGAATATTTCTAATTTCAAAATTTTTATATATTTGACTCTTTGACTTTTTCCTGTTTTTTTTTGCAAATTATGATAATTGAGTAGAAAATTGTACTCAGTTTTTTTTCTAAAATATTGTTTCGGTCCACCTTCAAATTATAATAAAAGAAGTTTATAATAATGGAACAAATAAAATATATACTAAAAAAAAATTTACCTCATGAGGTTTCTAAGAATCAAGGTTCTTTTGATTCACAAACAAATGTTACATATTTTAATATATTTCAGAACATTTTTGAAAACTTAAGTCAAATGAAGAAAATTTGATTTTTGAGTTTTTATGATGCAATTACAAAAAATATATTCAAATATATATATTTGGCTTTATTTTGACTTTTTTAGTATCGTTTCACTTAAAATTTGTTGTTGGCGAACCTGGTTTTCCAAGCGCGGTTTAAATCAAGGCAAATGAGCTATGGTGGTTTGATTCGGAAGAACAGTGAAATTAGTTCTTGAAAAAAACATCTTTTTTATCGCACAACTAAAATCTTCTTACAATTTTTCAAATTCTTACGTCTTGTTCTTTTTTCGGTAACTGACATATTTTGTATCCAAAGTTTTGAACGGTATCTTAAATATTAGGTTTACCAACTATGTAATTAAGAAGTAACCAATGTAAGTAAACAAATCTAAAATTAATCATAATAGAGTGAGACGTTAATAAAATGCAAAATAAAAATAAGAGATAAATCGATAACAATTTAATTTACAATCAAATATCTTTTTATAATATCCTAAATACAATACTTTTTAAGAAAGCAAATTAGTTGATTATATAAAACAGATACTTAATAAAATTGGAAAGTATATACATCATCTTTTGTATGAGTTTATATTTAATACTTTGTTTTTATTTACTATTGGAAATATCTTATATGTAAGTTGCCTATGTATGCTACAAATATTGTATTATTTCTAAATTTATTTTAAATAAATAGATGTTAAGCGTTTGGAACAGCTGCTTAAGATTGAAGTGTCGTTGTTCGAGTTTGAGAAATTGATTTTATTATTACAATTTTGAAAATGCAATTCAAATCTTATGTTTTCTGTACGTTGAATTATATTAAATACTTTGTAGAAGTGATATAGTTCATTATTTTATTTGTACTTCTTAAGTTGTATTTGATAAGTCAGCATTATTAATTCTTGTTTTCTTTTTTGTAGGAGATAGTACTTTATATAATCAATTTACATATAAAGGAACTGTAGCTGCATAATGTTTACCTTGAGGAAAAATACTTTATCGCTCTTCTTCTTTCTGTCAATATATGAACTACATGCTACTCAAAGTCCTCTACCCGTTGTTTTTTGGCATGGAATGGGTAAGATTTTTATTATTGTTTCAAGAAATTTAAACAAATATAATTCATACTATACAAATATTATAACCAGTGTTTTTATAGTAATTTTTTTGTTTCAAATATTTTTATTATATATAATGTAATAGAAACATTCTTTATGCACTATATAAATTTTTATTCGTATTTATTTATTAAAAATCAAATTATGCATTATTATTGAAATCTGATGTGCAATTTCAGGAGACAGCTGTTGTTTCTCATTTAGCTTGGGTGCAATAAAGAAGTTAATAGAAGCAACAGTTCCTAATATCTATGTACACTCCATTCGTATAGGAAATAATGAAATAGAGGTAAGTTCTTTTATTTCAATTATTTTACTGATAAATTGCTATTACTATATGTACAGATATATTTTACTATTGTATCTTCATTGAATATCTTTACTTAAGTAGGATATATGGTTATTTATTTTATTGCAAATTTTGTATAACATAATTGATTTTGAATTACATATCTTATCAAAATGTGATCTTAGAGGAAACTTCTGATACATGTATATATTATCATACGATAGTTTCTTTTCATAAAAATCTTTTTAGTTTTAGTTTTTAAATTTTTTATGGTATCATATTTGCTTAATAATATAGATTGTAAATAATATTAAGGCAAATCTAAGCAATATCTTACACTATTTACATTTATGTTTACCATGAAACTCATAATGCAGAGTGAAAATTTTTTAAATTGCATGTTTTTGTAGCGATTGAAGTGTCAAATTTTTGTCTAGAAATATAAAAACATAGACATTGAATATTTCTTGAAAAATACTTTTACCATCCCTTTAACATAACTTTAATATACCTATTTCCAATATATCTATCAAGATAAAATAACTGAGTTGATAAAATTATATATCAGGATATTTATTAAATTTAATTGAACATCTTTTATAGTATATTTTTTATATTGTTATTTTCTTGTATAAAGTTATTTTTAATATTAAGGCACATGCTGTACGTATCTCATTAAATTATTAGTTAATGATATATTGGATTAATAACTTTTCTAGCTTTTACACTTTTTACAATTTAAGTAGAAATTAACTTTTTCAATAAGGGAGAGATGACTGACTAAATAATTTATATTTATTTAATGAATTCAAGATACAGAAAAGTAATTCTAAAGACATTAAAACAACTGAAAAATTTCAAAAGTCAATTTCATTAATTAGAATCGATCATTATTTTGGTTTTTGTTTCACTATTTTATATAATTAATAGAATTATATAATTTAAACATTATTGATTGAACAACATCTTGTTTTACTTAAAGAAAGATTAAGCTTTCTACTCAAGAAAAGTATAACTATATTAGTAGATGAAGTGGTTAACTATATAAAACTCAAAAAAAAAAGAAAATAAATGGATGGACTTTTCTTTCTTCTTAATTGTTCTAAAAGAATACATAAGAAATTATACAGATATAGGAAGCAGACTTTTAGAAATAGTTTTTTTATTGCCAATCTATTATATATGAATATGTTTTAAATGCATTGAATTTCTTTCACCATTATTATAATTTTGAAAAGTTTACTCATATGATTTATTCTGTGTATAAAGCCGCTAAAAAGTTTGTGGGGCGCGAGAAAGTTGAAATTCCAATTTCGGACATTTATGTCAATGTAATGCATGGCAATAGAATGCATAACGATACAAAATACGATAAGGTAATGTGTAACAATACAACGTACGGTATTGTAATGAGTAACAATATGATATGAATCCTGTTTAGGTTGGAGGCTGTGACAAATTCATTTGCCCAGCATTAATGACAATTTACTGTTTGTAGATACTAGCACTATGTATTCCTCGATAACAGTCTTGATATGCGTAATTTCATCGAACTCACCTTGACGTGATAAAGGTTAATCCATATGTGAATAGAATTTGAATTTTCGTAGGAGTGTGCCACTCATACTATTAGGAATTCTTTTACTTATCTAATTAAAAACATCCGTATGTACTTGAATTTATAGAAAATAGATATACCGGGTTGGTAAGCATAAAAAATAAGATTTGTTAAAAATAGAAATATCAACGAAATTTTCATTAGTTCCTGCGTGGAAGAAAATCATCGTTTTTCGCTGTGTATTATTTAACATCTAAAAACTCTTATTTAATATTACATATTAAGAAATCTTCAGTAAACTGTCAGCTGCACAGGTTGAAACAAAGGGGTTAAAAAGAAAAAATAAATACATATTTCTTAGTTAATTTAAATCTTTATAATGAATAGTCAAATATGTATTTAAAAATTTAATATTATACAAAATAATAAATTAATTATATTTTTGAAGAGTTATTCCGAAATAGCTATTTTAATAGCTAATTGTTTAGCTTTTCTTATCACAGCTAAGTCTGACGCAGATAGTAAACCATTTTCTTCATAAAAAGAAAGTATCGTGTCAGCTGCAGCAACTACATTATTTGGATGAACATTTACAGCTAGTACATCGGTTTCGTCCATATTTTCTAAAACAGAAAGAAGAAAAATTAAAAATCTTAATAAATATTAGCAGCTATATGCAATATCAACTCAATAATTATATAACCGAATTTTTACAAATATTTTTTAACATTTTTTATTTAAAAAATGCAGGAATATCTATATAAGTAATTACTGATTTTCAAATTGTACTAAACAAATTTTTTTCCAGTAATTCTTTATAAAAGCTTTCATTAGCTTCATCATCTAAAATTTGTTTCAGTACACATTGTTCATTTGCAAATTTTTATGTACATGATTTCTTTTAATCATTAAGTGTTTATAAACAACATTATAAAGAATACTAATTGTATCACAAACTATGAATATTTTATTTTTTTAGAAAGATATTTTTTAATATAATACACATACCTTCTGCATATTCTTGAGCTACCAGTTCAATTAATTCAGTATTTGTAGGTACAGTTGTTTTCTCGGTTGTGTCACTTTCTTTCGTGCTAATCCAACTTTGAACTGATCTCTCCTCCGCGTCTTGGTACTCATTAATTTGACGTATATTGCTCAAAATGTCATCATCCGTAATGGTTTGTTCCATCTCTTCACTGCTACTATCGTCATAATGACTGGGTAAAATTTTCTTCCAATGTTTTAAAATTGTTGCTTCGGTCACCCCGTCCCAAACATCGCTCATCCAGTAAAGAATGTCTTTGATAGTAATTGATCTTAAATGAGCAGCCAAATTAATTCCATTCTTTTGCGCAAAAAGTATCGAATGTAAAAAGTGTAACTTATAACGCCTCTTGAGGTCGTCCGTTATGGTTCGATCAACCGGCTGTAACACTTCCGACGTATTAGCTCGTAAAAATCTTATTTTTATGTCTCCTTCAATAGCGTTAACGTCGAAAGAGGCATAACAAGGCGCATAGTCAACGAAAAGCAGTGCTTTCGCCGGAAGGCCTTTTTCTGTTAAAAATGTCGTCACTCGTGGTACAAATTCATTACGAAACCAATTTTCGAAAATTTCTGCAGTCATCCAACCGTTTGTCTGAGGAACATAATGTACAGGAAGTGTACCTTGTGACACGGTATGTAACGATTTAGGTTTAGTAGATTTACCAATGACAACTAACGGAAGCTTCATGCTAGCATCTCCGTTGGTACAAAGTATAACTGTGTGGCGTTCTTTAAGTTCTGTAAGTTTAATCTGCGATTTTTCTGCGAACGACTTCTTTGGCATCATTTTTCCATTTAGATCAGTTTTCTCAGCATTAAAAATCTGACACAATTGTAATTCATTTTCCTTTATCATATTTTCTATATCGTCTCTAAAAACAGGCGCAGCTGGTACATCTGTCGAAAATCTTTTGCCGTATACAGCATATTGACGTATACCGTATTTGTTTTTCCAGTGGTTTAACCATCCTTCGCTTGCGACAAATTTCTTTTCTATTCCCATTTCCTTATGCAGTTCTAATGCCTTTTCTGAAATATAATTCTGTTTTTTAATCGCTTTTTTATGATTTGTATTTCTTAATTGTTGCAAAATATTTAGTGCAAATTGTTTTATACTATAGCAGAAATCCCAAACTGTGGAATCTTTACTAGCGCATCGACGAACCAATTTTGGGGTGGGTTTTGTTAAATATTAAAATATAAAAAATTGTTAAGCATTTTTTTTATTTTTACAACTACCATTTTCGAAAATAGGAAGTCTGAAATAGAATTTTAGAACTTTGAGGTTTTGGGTTTGAATTTGTGAACCTTGAAATTGTGGAATTTTAAGATTTAGAATGTCGAAACTTTTAGGTCTCTGGAGTTTCTTAACTTTGAGACTTTTAAAGTTTTGTAATTTTGTAATTTTAAAAAACAATAAACGAGTAAGTCATACAATTCACATATAGTTTGGAAAATTTTATACTAAACAAAAATAATTCACAATACAACAATGTTAAAATTAATATAAAAAATAATAATTATAATTTTGTAAAATTAGCACATCTCTCCGATTCCAATGATCGCGACATGTATTATAAAGATCAATGTCTCAAATAATACTGTATTATAAAATTTAACATTATTTTTTTCATTTACTAATGTAAAAATTTGTAAATAAAATTTGAGCTATTGCCACAGTTAACTAGAATTTTTATTTCTATAATTTTTGTTATTATTTAGGGATCTCAATCTTATATTAAAATAAATTTCGTAACCATGCAGATTAATGTCATACTGTGGAATATTTTTTAACAATATAATAAATGCTATTAAAAATACTCCTGTATATATGTTTAATGTTGAAGAAGAGCAGTGATTATATGTTATAAATGATGACGAATAAAATAGGGTCGGGTGTTATAAATAACAACCTACTAATCACTTGACCCATAGTATATACATGAAATAACATATTTAGAATATTGACCTTCATGTCATATGTCACGATCACTGAAATTGGTGGGATATTCTACATAATTATCATATTTAATATAATCCAAATTCCACAAAATAACTTTTATATACAACTATCTACATTTATATTAATATACAAAATATAATTTTGAAATTATATAACAATGATTCAAAATTAAAGCGAGGAATGTAAAATGTGGCAATTAAATATTATCGAAAATATTACTTGCATGAAAAAATATTGTTAGGAAAAAATGAAGTATTTTAAGAAGTACACATTTCACCTTAATTTAATTTTTTGTACATGGATATTTAAAAGCTAATACCATTTTTTTAAATAGAATCATGTATTATTTTTTTATCTCTCAAATTACTGTTTTATTGAAGTATTAACAAAGATATATCTTACTATCTTTTTTTTAAAATGATCCGCATAAAAAAATATGCAATCTCATTAAATAGGAAGGTGACGAATTTAAAACATCCTTTATATTTTCACGTACAAAAAACTAAATTAAAATACTTCAATTTGCACTAACAATGTTATTAGATTACCAATACCCTCGATAATATTTAATTGTCACGTTTTATATACCTCGTTCTACATATTTTAAATTATACATCCATCTATTCTAACAATAAAAAAAATTTAAATAATATACAGGGTGTCCCACCTAACTCTGTCACCCTTAATTATTTTGTTATTTAAAAATATAAAAAAATTCTTCAGGACGAAGTTATAGTATTTAACGGGAGAAATTAGCCTAGAGGGGTGGTCATCCCAAGGTTATATCTTCTGAGATTTCATAGTGACCTCTGTGCTTTTAAAATGGAACTTCATATTTCTTTTTAAGTAAATCGATTCTTTGGAACATTGTACGTAAAAAAGCACTTATGGGCATAATTTTGAAAATATTTATTAGTTCCTAAAATGTGTTAAATTTTTATATAAAATATCTCAGTAATTATTGTTTTTTTTTTAATACTGTTAATACTTTTATCTAAATAAAAGACTTAATACTGGTAGTATACAGGGTGTTACCAGTAACGCTACTCACGATTTTTCTCCCACTTGCAGCCACCTTACGAAAAAATGTTTAGGACAATATTAGCAGGGTATGAAGTGCACAATAGATATTAGTAAAGCAAATTTTTAAAACAGTTTGTTCTCTTGGCAAAGTCAAGGTCACCTTGGGTTTTTTAAATAGGAACATACATTTTTTTTTAATCATAGCTTTAGAGGACATCGAGACGAATTCAAAAC